ATCATGTCAACAGCTGCTGCAAATTTGTTGGCTGCACCTTCACGATGCGAATCTCCCGTTCCCCCACATCCCAAAGATGCTCTATTGGGTTGAGATCTGGTGACTGTGGAGGCCATTTGAGTGCAGTGAACTCATTGTCATGTTCAATAAACCAGTCTGAGATTATATGAGCTTTGTGACATGGCGCATTATCCTGCTGGAAGAAGCCATTAGATGCTGGGTACACTGTCGTCATAAGGGGACGGACATGGACAGCATCGATACTTCGGTGACATTTAAACAATGCTCAGTTGGTACTAAGGGGCCCAAAGTATGCCAAGAACATGTCCCCATGACAATAAGCCACTACCACCAGCCAGATTTGCTGTTTTCATGTTGTTTATGTCAATTTCTGACCTTACCATCTGAATATAGAAGCAGAAATTGAGACTCTTCTGACTAGGCAACGTTTTTTTCCAGTCTTCCATTGTTCAATTTTGATAAGTTCGTCCCCATTGTAGCCTCAGTTTCCTGTTCTTGGCTGACAGGAGTGGTACCTGGTGTGCTCTTCTGCTGCTGTAGCCCATCTGCTTTAAGGTTCGACGTGTTGTGGGTTCAGAGATGCTCTTCCTCATACCTTTCTTGGAGTGGTTATTTGAGTTGCTGTTGTATCAGCTTGAACCAGTCTGGCCATTCTTCTTCGGCCTCCGCCATTACCAAGGCATTTTCGCCCAGAGCACCACCGCTTCCTGGATGCGTTTCCTTTTTCAGCCCATTCTCTCTAAATCATAGAGATGGTTGTGTGTGAAAACCCCCAGTAGATCAGCAGTTCCTGAAATAAAAATACCAGCCTATCTGGCACCAACAACTAAGCCATGTTCAAAGTAACTTAAATCAATCTTGCTCCCCATCCTAATGCATGATTTGAACCTTAAATAAAGCTCCTGACATGTATCTGCCTGATTTTATACACTGTGCTGCTGACATATGATTGGCTGATTAGATATTTGCTTCAAGCAGCTGGACTGGTGTACCCAATAAGTTCCTCGAGGTCCCAGCACTGCTGGTTTTCCAGCCTTCCTTTACCTGTCAGTCAGGTGTGAAGCCTCTGACCAATCAGAATCAGTAATTATTAAACAACTACCTGGGGGAACTGAAAACATGGCCTGGATTTGGAATCGAGGTCCAGAGTTGAAGAACCCTGGTGTACAGTATGTCATCCTCGAGGATGTTGTTATCCACACTGTAGATGTTTCCCTTGTAGTCTGTAAGAAAACAAAGTCTTGGAATCCTGGTTAATTTTACACTCGCAAATCTAAACAGTTGACCAGGCTGCCAGCACACCTGAACCAAACAATCAAAAACATTGAATACCTGATACAGGTGCATTGGGAGCTGGGAGGGAGTAAAATTATGGGCTGTCTGAGGGTCCCTGAGGACTGGGTTGGGAAACACTAGTGTAAAGGCTACATGCAAAAATAAATGTCATCCATGAGTGGACTACACTTATTTTTATCTCACTGTTTTTTCAAAATTCAGTGAATAAAGAGAAAAAAAAACTGATATAACATTATAAAAGACTTTGTTAGTATAATAATGCTGTTATGTAAGTGAATCCTGCACATTTGCACTCCATCATTAGCACTGAGTTCGAAATACAGTCGTTACCCGCCAATTTTAAACTGCGGTGATCGTATGTCGCACTGATGATGTGAGAGGACAGAGTTACGTACTCGAAGAGGGTTACGCAACCGTGGGGCCGCTAACAGGGGTAATCGTCCTTTGGCCAGAATCTCAGAGCTCTGCTGTGCACTGTGACAGAAAGGAACGTGGAAGCTGGCTGGGACAAAAAAGATGTTTGAGCCCCCTCTATGGGACACCGGCGATACATCTGAGGAACACCTGCAGAAAAAAAGCGCCCCATTTTCCTTTCACATCGTTTTACTTCAAACGGCGTGACCCCTGTTCTCCCTTGAGTCTTTCACCGTGAACTGGCGGATCTCTCGGAGGAGGCAAAAGGCTGCTTGTTGCTGCTTGTTGCTCCATTCAATATAAACAATGAAGTCATCCCTTCCATCGCTTGTTTTGCTAGCTGATGATGTCACCGGCAGCCAATCAACACGTTATACTGCAATAGGTGGCAGGGAAGGGGAGGGTCAAATAGAAGCTTATAAGAAGTAACCAGTATCATTAATAACAGCAACAAATAAACCTGTATTGTTGCAATTAGCAGTGATATAGTGACTGACTGTGGTTTTTTTCAGTTGTAGCATTAATAAAATAACAAATATGAAATTTGCCTTTTGCTGTAACTCTTTAAAATTCACATTACACAACTCGCATAGATGTGGCTGGAATATTTTGAGTGAAGCTGAAAAAGACATAGGTTAATCGCCAGTCTCAAGCCCCAGATTGACAGCTGACGTTCTGGGCTCACTGCATACAGTATAATTAAACCCATTTCAGGTAATTTAGGACTGAGTCATTAAGCAGGGTTACAATTACTTCTCTGCCTGTTACTGGAAAAATCAGTGATTTGAAATACATCACACAGCCTGACAGGAGACTGGTGAAAAATGACATTGAATTTTTAAGGAAGGATTCCCCAGTTTTGGACCTGGGGGGCCAGTTTGCAACATGGCTTGCAGATTTCCAGGCTCAAACACACCTTATTCAGCTCACCAGCTAATTACAAGGCTTTGTAGATGTGTTTGCATGGCATGGAAATCTACAGTGTTGCAAACTGCCCCTCCAGGACCGGAATTGGTGAACACCATCCAAGTCATAATGTAAATAGAAATTGCCCAAAATATAAGCTAATCATTATGAAGGTAAATTCTCTGAGATACTGGATGAAAAACACTTATCATTGCCTTAGTAACCATCATCCTTCATCCAGATCATTATCAAGATTCTTATCAATGGGGGCTGTGAGTGCCTCAGTGGATCAGGATGCCGTGCCTGTGATCGGAAGATCGCCGTGGCGAGTGATGTCATCGTTGGACCTTTGAGCAAGGCCCTTTACCTCGAAATGCTTTCAGTTGTACATTGCTTTGGATAAATGCATGAGCTTAATAAATGAATTGAAAGATTGTTTGAGAACCTGATCAGACCTGGCCAACCAATTTGGACAGATTGGTCATTGTGATGTACTGTAAGCAACCCTGTGCAATATGACCAAATTTCCAGAATGTTCTGAAAATGAAAAGAAAAGCATGTTATTGTCATGCCCGGCTCGTACGATCCTCGTGTGTGCCACGCCCCCCTCGTTACCTCATGTTAATTCCTGATTGTAATCACCTGTTGCCTGTTACGTTCAGCCTGTTTTATGTATTTCGTCCGCGTCTGAGTCAGTTTTCCCCAGATCTGTCATTGTATTGTTGTAAAGTTTGTGGATGTCTGCCCTTTCGTACCTAATAAACCCCGGTTACCTGTCTGTCCGACTCAACTCGCCTGCTTTCCTGCTCGCCTTATCCGCACGCGTAACAGTTATGTCTAATAGAATCTGGTCACAGGTAGATTCTATCATTTGTGTTTTTTCCCCTCCAACACCTCAAAGTCCCCGCAGTTTCCTAAGGACACCAAGAGCTGGACTTCAACCCTGGTGTGTCCATAGAACGGGGCGGAAATAGAGCAGAACATGATTAATGTCGAGGTTGCATGAATGTTGAGGTACATGAGGCAAATTTGGCACAAAAGTTCTCAGAGGGCAGTAGTTCAAATTAACTGCCACCCCCCACCCCCCACCCCCCATTGCCGAAAATTACTGTCAGTACTCTATAGGGGCCTTGTCATGTTCTAAAAGAGATATGTATTTATTTAGTACCAGGGTGTAATTACCTAGACATGAAAAGGTCACTGAAGTCCTTAGGGTATGAGTAGTACTTCTGCTGAGGCGAATTAGGTGTGACGTGGAGGGTTTTCCCCACGTATAGGAAGTCGCTGTGCTCACTAGCGTAGGATAATTAGTTATGCTAATGAAACAGTGGTTTGTGCAAATGCAAGCAAATGTGTGTGTTCAGTCGCAGACCGTCAATTGAGTAGCTTTCATTCCGCGAGTGGTAACGGCTCTCCAGCTCCCGTGGCTTGCGGTGGACGCCGTTCATGTCGCCGCAAGAGAGATGAAAGCACATTGAGGAAAAAGCGAGATCTGAATCCAATCTGGGCAGCCCGAGTGGACACCGGGCAGGTTGACCGAGAGCTACCTTGTAGTAAGCGGCGATGTTTGATATGTGTCCCTTTTCGGATGCTGGTTATAAGGCTATAAATTTCAATGGCTCAAGACTCAGTTTCACCAATAATTGTTTCATTATTACTGATATAAATGGTGAACGGTAAGGTGTGTAAATAAGATAAAGGCCTCTTCTGGGAGGATGTGCAAATAAGCAATTATTTTCTACATGCACTAAGGAGCACTGCTCTAGCCATGGTGGAACGTGGCATGTTTTTAATCTTGGGTAAAGGGGCTCTGTTGGCCCATCCTGGTTTTCTAAGCCGACTGCATACAGATGTTGTCACTGAGGAACGCGTGGAAGGATGTGTCAATCAGCCTCTTGCTAGCTGTTATTTTTACCTTGACTGCGATAGTCAGCAGTAGAGTTTTTCATCCTGACAACCTTGACTATTCAGATCTGCAGTATACAAGTCTGTGGCAGTTATATTCACTGCATTTTTTTCCTCTGACAGTTTTCAGCTAAATGGTGGTGTATGTTTTGTTAGTTAGGTTGGAGTGGGTGTACAAGGACTAAAAACTATAGTGATAGTAAATCTGTTTTATTGTACCCCTGGTTGATGATTGGCTAATAGGAAATTGTCTTGGAAACCCCTTTGCTGTAGGATTGTCTCTTGTGCTGTAGGGATCTCCTGAGTTTTGTACGGCAACATTGGCGTGATTGGTATGGGATTGCAGATCGGTTAGCGTAGCGAGCATCTAAGTCACGTATCTTTGTGTCATGCTAGTATACCAGATGTCGAATGCTCACATTGTCTAATCGGTTATCCCCCCCCCCCCACCCTCACAGGTGCCCACGGAGTGCGAGAGGAGCCCCAGTTTGTGACAGCGCGCGCTGGAGAGAGCGTCATCCTGAACTGTGACGTGGCCCATCCCCTGAACGGCCAGCCCTATGTGGTAGAGTGGTTCAAGTTTGGAGTTCCCATCCCATTCTTCATCAACTTTCGCTTCTACCCCCCACATGTGGATCCTGAGTATGCCGGTAAGCGGGATAGCATGCACCCTTTTTTACCACCTTCTGGCCCCCGCACATCCCTAATCTGATGGCTAGGGGCACCATTAGCGAAACAGCCTGTTGGATACGAATCAAAGTCTGTAGGTGTCTCTTTTGACCAAGTGTGACCCTTTGAGGCTCTATTACTGGATTAGTTTACCAGAGAACCAGATTAGCATTACAGTATAAAATGAAAAAAATACCGATAGATATTCCTGTTTGGGATTGTAAAGATTAAGACACACGGGAGTTAAACATAAATCCGTCAGTGCAGATAAGTTAGTGAAAGACTGGTTTTTGCAATTCATTTCTGTGGGGGCCTATTCTACAGATTCTCTGGAACTCTTAGGGTATTAAACATCTTGCAAAAAAGTATTATGAAACGGTAACCCTTCCATCTCTCACACCTAGTTACAAAATTGAATCACAGACCTTCCGGTCTTGCCTTTGGAACATGGGAGTTCTTTTCTTCTCCAATGGTCTGTAAAATAATAGTTTAAAGACCTTCAGATGGAAGTATATTTGCATTATGTAGTGTTGGATAAATAATGTAAATCAGGTTGCAGGTTTCTAGCACTGACTTAATGTAATGTGATTCTAAGTGCCAAGTAAGAACCTTTAATTTCATTTTTAGTAATCAGATATATCACAGAATTTGTTGGATTTGTAGATGTGTTTATTGCAGTGCCAGCCTTAGGCTTTCAACATGCTGAGATGAGGATAATTCCTGTTTGACTGTGGCTACTTCACACAAATGGAACAATATTTTGTCTGTGAATGGATTGGTTCCGTTAAATCATTTTGTAGCATGGGGCTCTACAAGTGTTACGCACAGCTTTAGTGCTCGCTCTCTGTGTGATTAATAGCCATTGAGTAATTCAGAGGTACTTATGGAATTTACAGATCGAAGGTTGTTTCTCAGTGACAAAGGAACAGGGGATGGCCCAGATGAGACGGTCGGTGATGACATCATTCTGCTTTGAGAATCGCAGGCTAATGATATCAGGTCTGCAGGTGAAGAACTCACAGGACGATATTTTTTTTGTCCTATTTTATTATTATATTTTTTTGAAGACAGATGCACTTGAAAAGTGCCAGACACATAAAGGGCACGATTTAAAACCATGTCAGCTTTCTAAAAGCAAGGCAGGCTTTACATTTTTGACCGCCGATCCGCTCAAATGCATGCAAATGAGGATTTGCCAGCCTCAGATTTATGAACTTCATTTTGGACCCCTTATGAAGTGACTTGAGGAGGGTGTGCGGTTGTCATATTGAGAAAAACAGTATAATCCCTCGGCAAACCATCTTCCATTAAATGAGAATTTTATATGCTGGGAGCTGCCTTTGGTCTCTCTCTCGGCAATAGGACTGATTCACCCTCCTGCCCACCATCATAGCCCCTGTGTTAGCGCAACTCTTACAGGACCTGTAAGTGTCCTTGTGTTCTACTTTGTTGCAGTTTCATTACAGTTTTTATCGATCGTATGTTGTTTGCAAGCTTTAAAAGAAAAGTGTAGAAGAACTGGTATTAACGCACTAACAAGTGAGTCTGAGAGATGTGTCTTGCTCACAGAGGATTTCCTGGCGCCCCTCCATGGCATTCACACCCCGTCTCACAGACTCTGCACAGTCGTGGACTTGTGAAGATGGCTATCGTGGATGCCACATCCTCCCTACAAAAAGGGCGCCCTGTGTCGGGCCACAAGGGCTCTTTGTCAGCTCATCCGGTGGAGTTCATCTGGCCACGCCGGGGTCTTAATCTCCCAGCCGGTCCTGGGACTGAGCCAGCCCGGCCGCCCACCTGCCTGCACATTCGCCACAAAGCGTCGCTTGTTGGGCCACACTCTCAGATATCTAGTGCGAGAGACCGAATGTGTCAATGCAGGCGGCCTGACAGCGTTGACAGTATGGGTCTTGTGTCTCACGGGAACTCCGTCTGGCCTGGGAGGGATCGAGGTGCTGAGCTGGGTATCTCTTATCGTCAGTGTCATTATTATATCGTTGTCGCCGAGCGCCAAAGATTCCATTTACCGCTAAGATTCTAAACCATGTCCTGCTCCTGCAGCAGGTATCAGTATCGTACAGACATATACCACCAATCCAACGCCCCCATCCCTCTACCTGGACCTCCCCAGCACATGGTGATGTCATCTGCTACTGTGGGACATGTTCAGGCAGCATCATCAATGTCTTCTATCTGAGGGTTGGGGACCAAATCTTAATCTTAACCCAAACGCTAACCCTGTAAGGATGAGAATGAGCTGATATCTAAGAAAAGGTGAACCATCAAAAACTAAATAGAGGGATTCAGGGTACCATGCAGCTGTACTGACATCTTCCACAGGACTCAGGCTGTATACTACGGTATCCCTCAACCTCATGTGAGTGCCCCCCCCCCCAAACCACCACCCACCTCATTCCCATCATCGGTTTGTCATGGGTGTAAAAATAAACCAGACTGTTGGCAAGCTCTCTTTTGCCAATATAAAGTGGCAGACTTTCCTTGAAATCTGCTTCTCCCCTTTTCGTGTTCTGATAGGAAGAACACACTGTATGGAGGGCTCTGGTACAATATCAGGTTGAGTCATCTGAAAAGCAGTAAAGTATGGGATGAAGTCTGGGGTCCCAGCTGGGGACATTTAAAAATCTGGTTTGCCTGTTAGTTATCAGTGATGCCTTTGTAAACATGGGTGAATTCAATACAGACATGGTCACATTTCTCTCATTGAATATCCCGCACTCTAAACGTTCTCTTCAAAGAATCATAGGGGAAAATATATCTTTAAGCAACTCTGCAAGCTTTAAAAACAGAAAGGATCAGAAAATATTCTCTAGGATGGAACTTTTGTCTCTTGTGTCTGTACTGAAGGCCATACTATTTATCAGCTATAACTGCCTTTCTTGTGTTATGCATTTCCAGGCAATTGGAGGAAAGTCATTTTTCTTGACTATACATATCTTGACCCTTGAAAATCAAACGTGAGGCAGAAGTTTTATCTATATGCTTTTTCTGTCTGGAATGGCTCACAAATGCAGCTGTGGATTTAAAGGGCATATCTGTAAATTTCATCATTAGTCCCTTTCTTAAGTTTGATTGTATCAGAAAGATGTGACAGCAGCCTCCTATCTGCAGCGGTAATCATAAAAACACAGTTTTACCTTTCCTTCTTTCTGCCAGCTTGCTAATACAAACGTCTTCTGCTGATATACGGGAGTGGCAAACATTTGACAATTTCGTGGAAATGGACATCATGTCAGTTCTGTGAATTTTGGTTGCTGTTCTGCAAGTAGTTATTGGCTTCACCACTAAAAGATGGAAATGTGTCTCGCATTCTGCAGGTCGGGCCAGCCTGCATGGCAAGTCCTCATTGCGGATTGAGCAGGTGCGCTCGGATGACCAGGGCTGGTACGAGTGCAAGGTCCTGATGCTGGAGCAGCAGTACGACACCTTCCACAACGGCAGCTGGGTGCACCTCACAGTGAACGGTAGGTCAGAGTCCCAGACGCTTTCTGGGAATTGAGTGAGTAAAGTACAGAAACGCTACCAAAACCTATTAGAAAACGGTACACAAAAACCCCAGAGGTGTCTAACACCTGGAGAGTCTTTTGGCTTGTGCAATTGATGATTTGAACCACATGCACTCCGTTATATATGTGCAGTTGCAAAATGGATCATTGAGGGTTTCTGTCAGCCTGTTAAAGGAATGGGAAACCCATTAAGAATGGGCCCCCAAAGAGTTCTACCTTAATGGGCAGGACACTCTGTCTGGCCTGGTGCTGCCCACTGAGCCGGAGCTGGGAATTCCGTATAGGCAAGGTAATAAGGGGTTCTCCTGTCAAAAAAATTTAAAGAACTCACTCATAACTGGATAACACCCACATACTTACTATCCCTGCTTTTTTGGGTGCCAGCAGGCAGCCATCATCACTATTTTATGATGTTCGATTTGAATCTGCCACCCTAACCCCAGATAGCATACTTTCCTTTGTCTAATTGCCAATTTTGCGGGGGTCGGCTGTGAGGTTTGTCCTACAAATGCTGCAAATACTGAGGGTCGACCATTATTCTACACAATTATGGCATTGCAGTAAGTTACCACATGGGTAATATGAGTACAAAAAGTGCAGTCCATTGGATGTCGTGAAATGGCTGGTGCCCCATGCAACCCAAATGGAATATTGCAAAACTGGTAGAATCCAAATGGGGTAGAGAAGGCTAATTTGTTTCTTAGACTACTGTTGAGGGACTCTATAAGCAGCACTGGTTCACATTTTGAGTTGAATAAAGTCGAGCTATGACTTACATACCCAGCAACACATTCATTTAGCACATGGGATATATATTGCATTTTGGAACCCTAATAATTTTAAGTCAGTATGGAGTTATTATAAGATTTCTTGATTGTTTAACTTTTTAATCAATGCTACCCAAACTACCTTTTCATGGGCACAGGCAAATAGGATGGGTAAGAGCCCAGGACAGAGGGGGCTGATTGGATTTATTTGTGCTATCTGCACTGGAATAAGCCGGACACCACATGGGACTAAATCGGGATTATCTGATTTCGGAGGTTGCAGCCCTTGAGCCATACTTTTGGTTTATGGTGCAGCCAAGTGCACAGGTGCAATTCCCTTCCATGCTGTCAGGATGTTGACATCATACCTGAACCTTTTCTTACTCATTTTGTCGGGCATCTTCAGTGACCTAAGGAGCTGTTGCCACTTGGCAGATGATTTCGAAAGGTGGAGGTAACACATGCAGATTACTTTCCAGTGTCAACTCACTTTTTTCACCGCTGTCATTGAAAGATTTTTGTTGTCCAACTTAGTACAAATGTACTCACAGAACCAACCTTTGTGAAAGGTCTTCTGTTCTCCATGTACCTCATCCTTAGACTGCCTTGCACTCTTATCTCTGGGTTGTTTAATAAGGTGCAAGGTGCCCCATGGCTTCTGGCTCCATAATAATTCAGCAATACGCTGTTGGAAGGCTAGGGAACCTTTTGAATTGGGAACAATAAAGGGCTGATTAATCTTTCCTGATTTTTAATATCAGGCAATATCAAGTTCAATATGTGATGAAAAATAAAAGATGTGCCTTGATCTATCAGAACTTTTACATGGTATAAAAAGTGTAACAGTGCCTATAGTTATAAATATTGCGTAGAGGCCCTGCTTTCAGGTATCCCTGCATCGCATACACTGCCTATATATCACTGTGCAAATGCTAATTGAATCGGGCTATTAACCTTTAAAGTGTTGTCACCTCCGCCAGTTGCCTAGCTGCCGGGTTATGATGAGGCATCTGAAACAACGTTTCCTAATGGCTTTGTGGTACCGGCAATTGCACGGTTTTTATGCCTGTGTCCCATATGACCTGTACCTAATTAGCACAATTTTAATAACTTGATGAGTCATGAATTGAAGGGTACTGTCCCGTGACTGCCCAAAGGCAATATCTCCAATAGAAGCGCGATGACGTATCCTGATCATTGTTCTCGAATCTTCCCTTCTCAAGAGCTAACGAAAGGCCCCAGGGTCAGAATCCGAGGGTCCTCTCAAGAATGATGACTCCTTTCTTTGTTCAGTGCTTACAACAAAGAGTGACAGATTAACGAGTTCAGGGGCCCTTAGAACCGTAGAACCCTCTTCTGCCCCGAAACAACACAACTATTAACTGTAAAACTATTAAATATTAGTAACTATAAAATTATTTCTATGAAGTGAAAGAGAATGTGACACTTTATCAAACGAGAGCAATTGCATCAGAACAAACCGGCATTAATCTGCCCCTAACGACAAAGCAGATACATTCTTCCCAAAGTTCTGGCACCAGCCCTGATGATAGGGAATGTAAAGTGCCAGCTGACCTGACCCACCAGGCCAGTGCCTCATGTAAATGAACATTGAACCCATGGTTATATAGAAGCCCCCCAACTATTTCAAGGGTGTCTAGTACAGGCAGTTCCCAGGTTACGAACAAGATCTGATCCCTAAGTCTTTAAGTTGAATTTGTAGGTAAGTCGGAAAAATAATAATACAGTACATAATAATGATAGTACAGTCAAAATAAAAGTAACTACATACAGTACTATACTGTACCTCGAGCTGAAGAGCCACTGAATCTGTGCAAGGTTTTCACAAGTATCACAAAGCAGTGCGTACATTCATTATTATGTACCATTGTATTTAACCTGGAATTTTTATATAATAGGCTTTATGGCAGTCTATTCGTAAGTATCTGTTGTCCGTAAATTGGACGTTCTTAACCTGGGGACTGCCTGATTCAAAATGAATTCATGGTTGCCTTAAGTAGACTCAAGATGAACTGCTTTAGTGCTACCTGCTCCACTTTGTCCTCTGAGGTACCTTTGTACCTGCAACCGTCGCCTGCAAGCTTTTGGAAAATGCTGAGGAAAGGGAAAGGGAGGCTTAGTATCTGTGAAGAGAGTTCCTACAGACTCCTCGAGTATCCCTTCTCCAACATACCCATCCTTTCTAGTACCGCTTTCCCATGGATGTCATAATCTGTCTGAGCATCAAAGAGCACCTAGCCCAGACTTTGTGTTGATTGGTACTGGTGTCATCATGAGGTTTGTGGCTTTTGGCAGTGGAACCTACAACCCAATAAATCAATGTACACACCAAGGTTAGGTGCATGTAATTGATACAAAAGAATCCAACAGCCAGACTATCAAATCTCATAGGCCAAGCTTCCCCTTCACCCTTAAGAATCATTACACCTCACATTGACAGAGGACAGAAGTTGTGGTACAAAATCAGTCCATTTCAAGACATTTTCTACTGCCTTCTCTGCGAATCATTTCCATGCAGAATGATGAACAGAAGCATTCCTTTCGTAGTACAGGTCTGTATGATTTCCTTCTTGCTCCACAGCTGCACTATGACAAATATCTTCGTGATGGTGTGTCTGTTGTTATCTGTCATTAGACTCATGGGAGTTTTACTTATACAAAAATATTTTGAAGGCAGAACAAAAAATGAGTGGTTTGGAGAGATAACCAACCAGAATGTAGAGGAGATGGGTCCAAGCAACTAGAGGAGGTGGGGCCAACCAGTCAGATGTTTCAGTCCCTCCTCCTCTGGTTGCTTGGACCCACCTCCTCTACAATCTCATTGGTTATCTCTCTGAACCAAACATTTTTTTGTTCTGCCCTCAGAATATTTTTGCATAAGTAAAACTCCCACGAGTTGTCATTACATGGATGTTGAAGGTCATTTTATGGTTATAGTTACTGTTAGATGCTTTCAAACGCCCAATTGTCTCACAGTAGGCATTCCTACTGCAAAGCAGGAAGACTAACAGTACCTACCTACACAGAGTCACATCGTGGCTGAAAATTTATAGCAGGTCTGTCACATAATTCACAGAGATGACGCATGAATTTCTAGACCCAATATGATACATGCCACATTCAGATCAAAACATCAGATCAAAACATGCTGCATTCAGATCAAAGCCAAAAGCTGTCTTATCAGAGGAGTCCCCCACACCTGAGTGTGCATTGAAAGACATGCAGTTCTGCATTATAAATAGCCGGAATAGAACATGTGAGGCTAAAAACAGATCTGCAAACAAGCGGAGAGACAAAAATATAAAGGCACAAGTGATAAAAATCTAAGCTTCAGCAAGAGGTTGCAGTCCTGCAGTTGCCAGACCTAGTTCTGAAAGGTAAGCTTGTCCCCCCCCCCCACCGGTGCACCCTGCCTCCCCCTCTTTGCAGGTTGCAGTACATTAACCCCCGATCAACTGCAGTGTCTCATCTTGGAAAGAAGCCACGCATTCAGTATGAGGGCTGTTGCCTTTCCCTGGTAAACAATGCGAGATTTATATCTGCCACAGGCGAGGCGCCGTTTGAAACACTGTACCTGATAATTGTTTTCCTGTCCATTTAATAGTGGAATGAGGCAAAGATTTGGGAACCCTGAGAGCAGGGAAGATTTTACATGGGGGGAGTAATTAATATAGAGGGGCCACCCAATGATATGATTTAAACCAGTGACTGACAGAGGAGAAGGCACTCTGGGAGCCAATCAGCTTTCAGCCAGTGCCTCTGTGGCCACGCCCCTGTCTGACAGTCTGGTTTCTTAGTTAGTTGGTTAGTTATGGGAAGGGGGCTATATGGAGATGACACCCATGAAACTTAAGGAAGATCCATAATTCTTTGCTCTACAAAGTTCTTTGTCAGGATTTTTGAGGTTGGGTATTGATAGGTACGGTGAGTGATAAACCTATAGATACCTTCTGTCCATCTTTAGACAGCTAGCAGTAACAGTAGAAGGTTGTACTGTTGCTTAATGCATGATACTTGGTTAGTCGATGCTGTAAACATCCATACAACCACCTTTCAATTGTTTCTGCCGTGTGAGGTCATGGTGGGCCGGAGCAGGATATGGGATGGGATACCAGGTCATCGCTGGGGACACTCATGCACACAAACATGGGCAGGTTTGAGATGCCAGTT